ACCCAGGTGGCACACTTCAGCGTGCAGGGTCAGCCCCCAGCTCGGCCCACGGGACCTACATTTGCGCCGTTGGGATCGTAGGTGCTTCCAGACCTCTGGGCTTTACTCATGCTGCCTTCTGCCTACTCAGAGAGACTTCCTGTGCATCTTACGACCCGATGTACTTTATTTTTTTCATTTAAAAACATTACTCTAAAAGGAATCTATCGGCTTCACCAGCATGCCACAAAAAAGGTGGAGACGGCTGTCAGCGAATACCAACAGCCTCAAACTAGTAACGAGACGTCCAGTACCGTGTACACTCAAAACTCCACGATCCGTCCAGGCTGAGTCCCTCCCTATTCCCACCGAGGGGACAGGGGATGGGCTCTGCTCTGCTAGGTTCTGCTCTTTCCTTCCTTTTTGCTCAAGTTTTAAATTATTGGTATTTTTCAGGTTAATACATTGGCATGTTTTGAAAATAAAAATAACATAAATTCTTATTCCCACCCCTTTTCGTATACATGTAGAATACCATAGAACCTTTCAGTATCTTGCTTCTCCTCACTTAATAAGATACCCCGAAAATACTTCCATGCCCAAGATCTTCTTCGTTCTGTTTCGCGGCTAGGTAGCACTTCAGCGTGTGGACGTCTGTCGCCTGGCCTTTGCCGGCTACCTGGACTGGACTGCCTCCCAACTTCCACTATTTATTAAAGCGACGCTGCAACGAAAGACTTATTCGCTACACGAGCAGATGTATCTGTAGGAGAGAGTCCCCAAGTGACACTGCTACGTCAAAGGACTGGTTCTCGTGCAATTTTCAGGAAACACTGCCAGGTTCCCTGCCAAAAGGACTGAATCAGTCTGTGCCCTCCCACCCCCACCCCCCCACCCCAGCAATGTATGAGAAAAAGGCTGTAAAATAAGACCCTTATCCCCAGCAACAGATGGCAAAACCCTAATGAAGCAGACGGGCTGCTCGGAACTTTACCCTGGTTCCATATTGCAAAATTAAGGATTTTATACAAAATCACTTGCTTTTTCTGTAACTAGCTATATAGACCCAGTTCAAAGGACCGGAGGGGAGGAGTTTGTAAAGTGCACTGCCAAGTGGATTTATGTTATTTCCCCAACATTTCCAGAATCACTTGGTAATCCACTGGAAAATATATTACATCTGGAGCCAATATTTTTTCCAACTAAATGATTATCTGATTCTAGCTGTGGAATGTTAAACAGGAGATTTAATCACTCTTCCTCACCTGTAAAATGAAAGGTTGAGATCAGATATCTCTTCTGGGTCTTCGTAGCTCAAAAAATCTCGTAAGCCAAGTTTTTACCACGCTCCAACAGCTTTCGTGGTTTTTGAGTCTATACCTGAGGTCACTGTTTTGCCTTTTTCCTTCACTTTTCCTATCTGTTCCATTCAAGGTGTTCCCTGAGCACCCTCTGTAGAGGGTACTCGGGAGACCAGGATGAGCACGAGGGGCTCCTTAAGGGGCCGGGAGAGGGGCAGGGGGAAGCGAATGTCATCAGCTGCCATGTGCTGTGACATGTGCTCTGATGGAGATTCGTCCACAAACACATAGACACAGAACTATGCTGAGGACAAGAGCGAGGGAGATACTGATTGGATCTCAAGACAGGAATTTCACATAAAACCCTAAAGACGCGGTTAAGAGAAGAGCCCGAGGCCAGGAGGATGAGTAGGAGTCTGTCAGACAGACTGTATTGACATAAAGTCACTTCCGCTATAACGCTTGCTGCGAAACTGCGAATTTGTTCCAACGCATCAGATATGTTAGGGAACAATTTGAGCATCAAGTGAAGTTTGCATTTGTTTGTGTGCGATTTTGTCCACGGAAAACAGTAGGTGGACTGCAGCCAGCTGGGCTGAGCCAGCCATGCCTTGGAGGAACACACACGTGTGCGCGCACGGCCCCCAGCTTCCCCGGTGTGTGAGGAGACACATCCATCCACATCCTATCTGATGCCCCTCCTCCTCCCATTTCCCAATCAATCACAGGCTGGAACCTCCCCAATGCAAACTTCAGGTCTTTTTCAAGGTAAAACACCATATTCGTTGCAGTATTTACGTATTTCTTAACCACTTAACACGTATGAAACTGTCCTATCATTTTGGTTACATTCCTGTCTTTTTTAAAAAACGATTCACTGACAAAGTTTTTGAGTGTTATGCTCCTAACCCCATTTTTCCTGTAAGCCGTGTGGTTTTTACCATGCATTTTGCATTCTGCAGTGATTCTTAGAAATACAGCATAGGGTCTATGCTGTATTGCAGCATAAGTTATTGTGGTTATCAAAATACTAAACAAGGCTGAGATATGATAACACACACTTCTCTATTAATACATAAATTAATAAGTTCTAACAGCAAGTCTAATATTCTGTAATTGTGAGGTAGCGTTAAGTAGAAATCATATTTTAAGATATCTGCAATAACTATAATGCGATACGAAACCATCTGTGGTCACTTCTAGTGACAAAGTCACAGGTATTATGTTCTATTATGGCTTGTTTCCCATATTCAAATTGAAAGAAGTGCTAATTTTCAATGAGAGGTTAATAAAAGTAAACTTAAGTGTAATTTTCACTCCCATCAGAATTTATAGATTCCCTGAATTCTAGTCAACAAACACTGATTCAAAATCTCTGCCCAACAAATCCATAGAGACAGGAAGTAGCCTAGTGGTGGCCAGGGTCCGTGGAGAGGAGGAATGGGGCGAGGACTTCTCATGGGGACAAAGTTTCTTGTGGGATGATAAAAATGTTCTAAAATCGATTATGGTGATAGTCACGCAACTGTGTAACGATACAAAAACCACTGAACTGTACACTTCTAACGGGGGAACGTTATGGTACGGACATTATATCTCAATTAAGGTGTTAAAGAAAAAAATAAAAGCTTACCAATACTTAAAATACTTCAGCTCCAAAGTAAATAAATCGATTCACTAATGGCTCAATGAGAGTTTGTCAAGAAAAAACCTTCCTAGAAAGCACTGCAAAGTCCCTACCGGTTTCTGCTTAGAAAAACTTATATGGCACACGTGGTGTGCATGTAGGAGACGTCTTCCCTCACCTATAATAAGCAGTGTGTGATTTATACTGTTTTCTGTAAAATTAACATGTAAATATATAAGAGGTGTGGTGTAATTTAACAGGCAAGCAACTACCTGTTGAGACTTGTGGCAATGAACCTGTTGATTCTAACGTGGTGAATATCCTAGTTTCAGATCACCTGTGTCACACAGAAACTGATTCATGGAACTCTGAACCTAACAAAAGGCCAATGTGAAGACGAGCTAAGCAAAAAATGCCACCAGAGAGGATTTCATGGAACAAGCCGAGGATGTCCGCTCTCAGTTTCTATTCAACACATATCTGGAGGTCTTAGCCAGAGCAATAATGTAAGAAAAAGAAATAAGGCATAAAGACTGAAAAAGAAATTCTATATTCACAAATTACATGATTGTCTATGTAAAAAATCCCAAGAATCTATAGAAAATCTACTAGAATAGGTGAATTTAACAAAGATGCAAATTACAAAAGTCAACTGTAGTTTATATCATCAACGAACTTGAAAATGAAATTTAAAATAACATGTATAATGGCATCGACAGACAAAATATTAGGAATAAATTTAACAAAAGATGTGCAAGACCCCTACAATGAAAACTACAAAATATGGTCAAGAGAAATGAAGGAAGACGTAAATTAATGGAGATATACTCTGTCCATGGATATTGATTCTTTCCAAAGTGATCTATAGATTCAGTGAAATCACTATATTAGAGTGTATTTTTTGAAAACTAACAAAATGATTCTAAAATTGCTGTGGATCTGCAAAGGACCTAGAATAGGCAAAACAATTTTGCAAAAGAAAAACAAAGTAGAGGATGTATACTACACAATATCAAGACTTTCCACAGAGTAACGTAATCAATGCAGCATGGTATCTGCACTAGGGAGCTCAGTGGAGTAATCTGATACCACAGAAGGGGTTAAAAGGAAAGTGACCACGTACGTTTTTGGCGCTGCTGCTGAGAGCCTCGGAGCTGATGGGGAGCAGGGTGCTCAGCTCCAGATCTGTGACCATCTGACGAGACTCGGCCAGCAAACGCTGGAGCTTGCTGGTGGGAGAAAAATCGTCCTGGGAAGACAACACAATTTAGGGTTCTTGAAATCAAGAAGTAGTGTTAAATGTTTATGTTTACAAATATGATGTAATATGCACAAATGGTAACTATTCATTAACATTTCTGTGACTTTAGGTTATTATATATCAAAGCAGGACATTAAATATTAGAATAAGCAAATTCCATTTATTTGTTAGCGCCTACTTGGCTAAACAATTTGACTTAAACAGAACTTGCGACGACTAATTAAGTAATATTCATGTGATAAAAGAATCCTAGGCATTGTTTAGCTTTCCTAAATCAACTTACCAAAGCCATAATTAGCATGTCAGAATACGGGCAAAATGAAACTTTAACACTAAAGCCTTATAAGCTATTAAAAATATGTGGAAATGTGCCTTAGTTTTAGTTTTCAACTTTAAGATCTGAATTTTTAGCATGCCAACTACTCTCAAAAGCACTGAGACTAATTTTTCACTAAGAAAAGTTAACTTCTAATTTTCCATGAACAATGATCAATACACTGGATCCAGAAGATGTTTCATAAATGTCTGCCAATGAATAAATACAGACTACGCACACGCAGACACACGCGCGCGTATGCATGGACACCACAGGCATGCAGTGCCACATGCTGCCTCAGAAAAACAGGTGCACACACTGACAAACCAGAGCTACAAAAGGTTAATAGCTAATATTTCTCCTCCTAGTTGTAGCTTTTAAAACATTAACAGCTTTGGGGTATAAGTGACACATGATTAGCTGTGTTTAACCGCACGCGCACACACACCCCTGAAACCGTGCCCACGTGAACAGCGATCACGTCCATCACACCGCTGTCCCTTTGGAACTCCTGCCCTGAGCCCCTCCCCCCATTCCCAGACCACTGCTGATCTGCTTTCTGTCACCACAGATTTGTTTGCATTTTCTAGAATTTTATATAAACGCATTCATACTTTTGTCTGTCTGGCTTCTTTCATTCAGTATAATTATCTTGAGATTCTCCCATGTTGCATGTGTATAAACAGCTCACTTCTTAATGCTGAGAAGGACTCCATTGTATGGCTATACCAGTTTATTCACTTTTGATGTATATTTTGGTTGCTTCCAGTTTTTTTAGCTATTACAGTAAAGCTGCTTGAACATTCACGAACAAGTCCCGCCATCAGCGAATTAAAGTCCCAACTGCTCCAGATCCTAGTAACACTTGGTAATGATGAATTTTTAACAAAGAGAACCGACACTTAAAAAATACCCTTTAAGGACCAGGTCCAACGACACCTCATGTAAGGCAAGCAACTGTGTGATGTCATCACCGCGCAACTGCAGATGAAGAAACTGAAGCTCAAAGAGATTAAATAACTTTACCAAGGTCACTGAGCTAAGACAAAGCAAAACGGGGATTTGAACTCAGATCAGGCTGATTTCAAAGCCAGATATCTTCCCAAAATAACACCAAAAGGAATTAAGTTGACTTGAACTTATTTCCTTTGTTTAAAGAGCTGCAGTGACGGCCTCGTGTGTGATGAAGACACTGGCTCACTCACGACAGGGACGATGTAGAAACACCTCAGTGCCCGTCAGTAGGCGGGTGGACAAACTGTGGTTTATTCCACCCATGGGCTACGTGTCAATCAACAATCAAAACGGAGAGACTAGGTCTGCAAGTGTCAGCATGGATAAATGTCACAGAAGACTGACACAGTTGGAAAAGTCACACCGCAAAAGGATATAGTATTTTACCATCATGTACATTTTGAATATACACAGAATGATTATATTATATAATGTTTAAGCATATAATTTTATGTAGTGCAAGCATAAAAATAAGCATGGAAGCAACTTCAGAATAGTGGCCAAGTGGCGTGAGGAGGGGGCATGGGGAGAACGGGATGTGGGCCTTATACTTTGTAACATTTTCTCTCTCTAACAAGAAAAATAAGGAAATGTGACAAAATGTAAACATGTTAAATCTGAATGTAGGTGCATGATTGCTTGTTATAGTCTTCGTTTTTTTTGGACATCTTGCCTAGAGCTCATCTATAGGATATTAATACTATAAAGTCCTATAACTTAAAAAAAAAAAAAACAACTGAAAAATGGCCAAAATTAAGCACGCTAACAAAAGGGCTGCAGGAGAATTAAAAGCGTGTTGGGGACAAGTCTTGCTGGAATAAGCTGGGTATTTCTAAGTGAAACACAAACCTTCTCACTAGGCAGTGCTGTGTCTTTGTTGATTAACAAAATCTTCGGTGAGTTCTTTCTGTCAGAAGAGGACTCTGCCTCCACCAGCTTCTCCTCCTCTCTCAAGGCCGATTTTAAAGAGCCCAAACAGTGGGAATGCTGGATGGCAATTAGCTCACTGTGAATAATAAAACCAAACAAAAACAGACACCTTAAAACAATATCAAATGCATATCACCGGTATGCTTAAACTTAAAAGTATCTCAACACAACGAGAAGAATTGTTTTTCCTTTTTAATGAAGAAGCTCAAGCTTGAGAAGAACATTACAGATTTGAATAGAATGTCTGAGTAGAATATTATAAATGAATGCGGAACAAAATTCTTAAGTTAAAGGGTAATCACAGGATAGAGAATTTCCCTCTCCCTCCAAAAAAAGAGAGAGACAGAGAGGTTTAAGGGACAGGATCATCCAAAAAAAGGAGAAAAAAAATTAACAATATGTGACAATTGCAGGTTTTTGGTTTGTGAGATGGAATCTCATTAATGGATTTTGGAAGTCCTTTCGTAAAAGCAGAGTAGCGCTGTTGTGGCTCATTAATTCTATAGTTTCTCCGTGTTATGTGTGGCCAAGCTTCCGGCTACGTGATTAAGGTCCGGGCTGAAAGCAGAGTTAATGGCAAAAGGTGCGGAGGCACAGCTGCCGGGCCCGCCCCCCTCCTCCCCGCACGTAACCTGGGGCCGCCTGGGAAGAGGCTGCGTGGTGGCTCCCCGCACAGGTAACCCTGTTTGTCAGACAGACCGGCGGTCCAGAGGTGAACACGTTAGTCAGATTAAAAAGTGGGTACACAACTTCTTATAATCTAAGGCAAAACAGGGAAACAGAAGGATCTCTTCTACTTAATCGAGCACTTGTCACCCGAGGCCTTGGCAGGTGCCTCTGCTGGCACAGCGAGAAGTCGCTTGGATTATTTCAAGCCAGGGAGGTAAAAACGGTCTTGAAAGGGAACTCCGAGTTTAAATTTGGATTTCTCTCATACATGAAATTTACTATTTGTCCACTAAGCTCTTAAGACTTTCTGACACAAGCTTTTCCCTTAATTTATGCGTGTTCTTTTCAGTGGTGAAGTACATGTGGTTGTGCCTTACCGGAGGTTACAATTCCAGAAGGTCTTTAAAACCAGATATGAATAGACAGCTTTTAGTGTGATAAACAATTTTTTTAAATTTTGCAACTAACAGAATAACTATCTGTATGATTTTTAAATTACTCAGGCTTCTAAAAAGGACAAAGAACAATCCAAATAATATAAATGCAAAAAAAAAAAATTTTAATCATTAAGTCCTACAAAAATCAGAGTGATGATCACAATACGGACCTCAATATAGAAACTTTGTCCTTTCTGTAATTTAAGATTGAAGAGCTGGGTTTTATTTAAAAATCACAGACATTTTTATAGTGTCACCCGACCACAAAATTCAGCCATTCTAACAATAAAATGAGCCTGAACAATGCAGCACATGCTAATAACTAATCTGGTTTCTTCTTAGAAAAAATCAGTAACTTTTAGCAGCTTGTCAAGTACAAGTATTCTTTCTCTTGCATGACTTTACAAAGCAAGTCTGAGAGACGCAGTGAACACGGAGGCAGAGCGCACGGACAGGTAAGAGTGTGGGGTGAAGAGAAATGCCCACGGGGCTCAGGGTGACGCATCCGGCTTATCAGTCCAGAACCACCGGGTGGGGGCTGGGCAAGGAAGAGCATTCCACTCTGTAAAGTGACTCCCTGTCTGGTTTTAAATAAAACATATTTACCCAACTCACGCCAACAGGCTTTGCTTTTAAGCAAAACCTTTGCCTCAGAAGCTGCCCTGGAGCCCGACCCGTCTCTGTGCACTCAAAACCCAACAGCCTGCGCCGCGGTGGGGAGAGGAACACGTGGTCTCGAATGCCACTTCGTCTGCTCAGGCGGCCCTAAGCGTTCCTGAACACTGTGGGCTCCCCGGGGGCGACGGAGGAGCGCGTCACTCACCTGGTGGAAGAGTTGTATTTCGTCCCACAGGCAGCTTCTGAACAAGTGCACACCGACTTGTGCCGCACAATTCTCTGCAGCTTCGAAGGCTTAAAAATACTCATCCACTCGATGTCGGACATTTGGCCTGGGGCTTCGATGACAAAGTTACTGGGGTGGCAGCACTGGGATTCGCACAGGTCGTTTTCACCCAAACAGGTTTCGTTTTTTTGGCAACAGGAAACTCCAGATCTTTCCACGTGATCTTGATATTCAACATCAAGCTTTTCTGGTTGTTTTGAAGCAGAGCAGCTGGCCAAGCCCAGGTACACATTGACATCGTGCCATTGCTTTTCATCAGAAAAAGTTGACATGTCCGAGAGCTGTTTGTCTTCGTTCTGAATCCCAATTCCAATACCTTTTGGTAATTTTGCATGGACCTTACACAACGTACTTTTGTTTTCGGGTTCGATCTGGAGTTTTCCTCCCAGAGACCAAGACTTTGGTTTCTCCATTAAGTTTTTTGTAAACAGAGACGAGAGAGCAATTACACTTTTTTCCCCAAATGAAGTATTAACCTGTAGCTTCTTCTCTTGGCACACGTCACAAGAGTTCTTGTCTGCCCTATTTTGCTGAAACAACGTGGTCTCAAATTTTTGGTCCTTAACCAGTGACTTCTGCTTTTTCTCCCTCTTAATATCGACTTTTGAGTGGTTATTTTCAAGGTCTGATAAACACATGTCTCTGCTATGGTGGCATTATAAAAAAATGGAAGTTATTAAGATACACTTGACACCATCATTCTAAATAGTTCAACGAAACCCCATTAGTTGAGCTAAATCCTAAAAAGACTCATTTGTCTGAAATGAAATATGACAGGATATTCATTCCTTCTTCAGAGCCCAGTTTCAGCTTGATTCCCTCAGAAGTCCTGAGTGCTGAGCCCACGCATCCACCCCCTTCCCACCCGAACTCCCACGGTGCCTATGGTCTCACCACAAGTCATCACCTGACTCTCTGTGTTACCTAAGCCACCACACAGCAAATTTCCTATTACAGCTATATTGCTCACTGCTTCATGTACAGGTCCTGTCTTCTCAACAGACTGTTTTTATATAGAGAGGCCATTTTTTAATCATCCCGGCACCTAGGACCGGCTTTAAGAAATATTAAGTAAATACTTACTGATCGATCTGATATTTCCCTTCCCAAGTCTATCTCACAGTAAATATAGGTAAAGTCAGGACTGAAAAATAATGGACTCAAGGTACAAAGAGAGAGTTGGACAGTGCTGAATGTGTTTACCACCCTGCATTCATGCCCATCCCATTCATCTGCTGATACTTAGGTAGCTATATATTGAAAGATGGTTTAAAGTAAAAATGACACATGTGCATAAAGTAAAATTTAAGGGTACTACATAAATGTGATGAATCTTTTAATAAATTGTCTTTTGAAGCTTTTCATGTCCCGGGGATCCAGGTATTCTGATCTGGCCTGGTGCCTGTGAT